GTTACTTTGAGGACTGAGGAGCCCCGAGCCCGGCCACAGCATGCGCCACTGGCTCACACGCATGAGAACGGGGACATCGAATAAGGAAGACGGAAGAAGAGTCCGTGCCTTTGAACTGTGGTGCTGCCAGGAAATATTAGACAGACCGTGGACCGCCAAAAGGGCAATAGGTCTGTCTGTCTTGGAAGAAGGATGGCCAGCGTGCTCTTTAGAAGCCAGTTGGGCAAGGCTTCGTCTTACAGACTTGGGACACGTTGGCAGGAGAGACCAATGCCCAGAGAAAGGCTTCGTGCTTGGTAAAGTAGAAGGGCAGTGAAGAAGGGGAAGACCTCCGAGAGATGGTGGACAGAGGGGTGGCCACAACGGGCTCCGGCATGGGCAGCACTGTGAGGACGGCGCAGGCATGGGCAGTGTTGCAGTCTGTTGTGCCCAGCGTTGCCACCGCGGCTTGGAACAGACTCAACAACACCGAGCAACAACAAGAGAGCACCCACAGACCGAGGGTGGCCTGTGGACTCTGGTCGGCTGCAGGACACTGCGGCCCCCCGCCAACACAGGGCAGGGCAGGGAGCGGTCCGGCCGGACCTCAGCCAGGGGGGTCATGGAACATACTTCTTCCGCCTCCGGGGAGCCAGCTTCCTGCTGCTTCAGATTCACACAATTGTTTGCTCTGAAAGAATCAGTTAGGAGACCCGATTTCCCAAACAAACTAATCACCTGAGCGTCTTGGCGTGAGAGGCTGTGTGCCTCACCCAGAGAGTCAGAACAGAGAGGCCGCCAAGGGGCCAGCCAACTTCTGAGACGGAAGAGCCCGTAACTCTGTGGCCACCAATCTAGTTGCACAAACAAATGGACTCACCAGGACCTGAATCCTACCCTTTCAGTGAAAGGACAGGTTTACTTTCACTTTCATCGTTGCTTCCAGGCCACAGGGAGTGACATCCTGAAAGAGCCGCACCTGGGCCTGCAAGCCAGCCGAAGTGAGCTGACCCTGAAGACGCAAATGGCTGGGGATTACGTGTTGGGCTGCTCTGCGGAGGAAAGACCAGGTGATCGACTCCCGAGAAGATTGACAGGCGCGGGACCCCACAGGGGCAGCTCCACTCGGTCCTAAGGAGCCGCTATGAGTCAGCATTGCCCGGGAGGCTGGGAGTTTGGCTTGACTTGGTATCCGAGCTCACCTCAGCCCTGGGTGGAGGTGGGCAGTCAGGCTGGCTTACTTTCCTGAGTTCACACAAGGAGCCTGGTGGCACAGTGGTTCTGTCAGGTAGCGAGAAGCAGGGACCAGGGGTTGTCCCTCCCCATGCCCGCAAGCCCCCCTCTTCAGGAGGTTGCTGTAGAGAACCAGGCGAGGCTCAGCCAGCCACAGAGGCTAAGGGGTATGTGCCAATTGAAGCCCCAGCCAGATGGGCAGTACACCTGGGTGGGCGCAAACTAGGTCAGGTGGGCTTCACCCAATTCCTTCCACCACGCCTCCCAGCAGAAGGCCTCAAATACCGGGACCTCAAGAGCACCCAGCCCTTTGGCTTCTTCTGTACCTCCTGCTGGGCTGTGCCTCCGTCCCTCTGGCCTCAGGTCCCCATGTGTGTGGGTGCAGCCCCCCAAGGTTAAGGTGACCAGATTTTAACATTGGTAAAGCGGGGCACCATTGATAAAACTCATATCCTGGCGAAATAGCTACCTGGCAGCCGAAAACCGTATAACCTAGCTTGTTGTCCATTCTTTCCAAAAATCGGGACTTTTTAAAAACGCCGCGGGACGTGGGAAAAATTGTTAAAAATTGGGACTGTCCCACCAAAAGCGGGACATCTGGTCACCTTACCCAAGGTTGCCTGTGTTCAGTGACTTTAAAACCTGAAACGTCTTCTGTCCTTTATAAAAACCCACTTGGATCACAAACCAGGCTTTGGCGTGAATTCTTTCTCGTGCGAATCAAGATAATTCCCACAGGAGAAACCTAACAGTTCCCCGTTGGGCTGCTGACCACAAGGTCTGCAGTTCAAAGCCACCAGTCGCTCTCCAGGAGAAAGATGAAGCTTTCTGCTCGCAGAGAGAGTTACGGTCTTAGAAACTCACAGGGGCAGTTCTACCTTGCGCCAACGGGTCACTGTAAGTCAGCATCAACTCAATGGCACAGAGTTTGGGTTGGGGTATAGGAGCAGAAATCACAGCCTGAGAGGTGGGAGAAACCCCACCCTGTCTGAGGATCAGCAGAGGTCCTGCAGGAAGGGCAGAAGGTGACCTAGGAGACCACTCAAAAAGAGCCAGGGGCCACTTACACCCACTTGCGGAGAAGGCCTGGGAGTAGGGGTGGGAGCCCCCCCTGCAGCCTTTTGTCCTCAGGCGCAAACAAACTGGGCCACAAACCCAGCTGGGCTGTGTCTGTAAGAATATATATACACCAGCTCAGCCCTGTTTATTCTTCCACAAGGGTTTACAGCCTGCCGGGGAAGGAAAAATCCATCCTGTGTTCCAACTCAGACCAGAGAATGGAGCCAGGGAATTTCCCCCCACCTTCTAGGGAGGGAGGGGGTCCCTTAGAGCAGCGGGTGTGGGGCGGAGCCTGCAGTGGTCCAGGGAGGTAGCCAAGGATGTATGTGTAGGGGCCAGGGGTACAACATGCCGAGGTTGGACCTGATTCTCCAAACCAGTCCTGCTCTGGGGCTGTAGTCCTCAGCCAGAGCCTGGCCCCTGGGTCTGGAGGGGCAGCAGGGCTATACTCAGAGAGGGCAGGGGGCCCAGGATGGGAGTCACCCCAGAGAAGTCGCTGCACTTTTGGAGGCCTGGTTCTTCAAGGGGGAAACGGTTGTCAAACGGAAACTGAGCTGGACCCCGCTCCTGACCCTCGATCTGGCCCAAACACACAGCCAGTGGGGAAGTGCCAGGGGCGGGGCTGAGAGAGTGGCTTGCCCAAGAGTCAGCTCACTGGATGGGGCACCCCCAATTGTAATGCCCCAGAGATGTCCCTGATGGTGCCTGGCAGGAGGGAAGGGCCAGGCGCCCAGCACTTTCCCTTGTAAAGAAGCTGCCCCTCCCTAACTGGCGCTAGTCCGATATCCAAGCAGGCCTCCTTCTGTCTCCGGAATCCACAGTTTCCCTTTTGGCCTGGGCAGCCGGGCAGCTCGGCACGTAAAGTGGACCTCGCTGCTTACAGCGCACTTGCTTTCTGGCTGCTGCTCTGAATCTCTGGAGGAAGTTGGCCTTTTCTCAGTGGGAGCTCTGCTCTCTTGCTGTGATTTCAGATCAGCAATGCCCATGCTGGGGGCCGGCCCCACTCCCCTCCTACCCAGAGGCGGGCTGGGTGTGGATTAGCAGCACTGGCCCGCCCCGCTTCATTGTCCTGGGTTTTACTAGACGCCGCAGACATTAAATCAGTGGTTCTCAACCTTCCTAATGCCGCAACCCTTTAATACCATTCCTCATCTTGTGGTGACCCCCCCAACCATAAAATTATTTCTGTTGCTACTTCATCAGTGTCAGTTTGCTACTGTTATGAATCAGGCGACCCCTGTGAAAGGGTTGTTCGAACCCCAAAGGGGTCTCCTTGACCTGCAGGTTGAGAACTACTGCTCTACCTGCTAGGTCTGTGGCCACCCTGCGCCTAACCACTGCAGGCATACCTTTCATATGCGCACAGACCCCCGTGCGACTTGAATGACTGCTCCGTCAGCTCCCTTGAGACAGTTGCCCATGTTTACTGAGCTGATCTGAATGGGACCTGGAGCGGTAATGTCACCTGGAAAGGTGGCGCGGATGGGAGCACACAGAGGCTGGACGGTCTGAGGCTGGTGTTCGGTTTCTGGCCACCGCCCTACAGGGACTGTCACAACAAAGTGACTCACACACGGCTTTTGGCTTCCCAGGGCACATGACCAGTTGAGGGGAGTCACACTCAACGCTCACACGACACAATGTTGTGGATGAGTGTGCTGCTCAAGGCCTCTGCCACGTGTGGAGGACCAAGGAGGGCTTCAGTGCACCCCAGCCACGGCTTTTTCAATCGGAGGCATGTGGAAGGTGGGTGCTGGTAAGAAGGGTGGACGAGGACCTGGGGCATCTTAACCAGGGTGCTGGCAGAGAACACTGAAAGAACCAGGGGCTGCCACAAGAACGTGCAAATCCGTCTTGGCAGAAGTACGGCCAGACCGCTCTTTAGAGGCAAGGACGGCGAGACTCCATCACACCTACTTTGGACACGTTATCAGGAGAGACCAGTCCCTGGAGAAGGTCATCATGCTGGGTAAGGTAGAGGGGCAGCGGAAAAGAGGAAGGCCCTCGACAAGGTGGACTGGCACAGGGGCTGCACCAACGGGCTCAAAGGACCATTGAGAGGATGGTGCAGGACCGGCCAGTGTCAGCTCGGTCGTACACAGGGTCGCAGTGAGTCAGCACTGACTGGGCATCACCTAACACGGCAGCATTGCACAGGAGTGATGTCTATATGGTCATGTAGTCTTCGAGGGGGGCTGGTGGCATAATGGGTTTCCAGCTGGGCTGCTAACCAGAAGGTCAGCAGTTCGACCCCACCGGCCACTCAGAAGGAGAACAGGTGAAACTGTCAGCGCCCTTAAAGACGTGCAGCTTTGGAAACCCAAAGGGGCAGCTCTACTCGGTCTTCCAGGCTTGCTATCACTGCAGTTGACTTGATGGCAATGGGTTTGATTGGGGGCCGGACAGCCTATGAAGTGTGCAAGGCATTAGGGAACATTCCGAGGATCATGAGAATGGCCGTATGATGACACAGACGCTTGACAGGAGAGTACACGCTGTTGAGAAAAGACGCTAACAGACGTGCTCTCGGCCGGACTGCCTCAGACCTTGAGTGTGTACAAAACACAGACTCTGTCAGTACCTGGTGGCGCTGAGCGGAGGATGGTGCCCGACGGGCCTTCTACAAGCACCTGGCAGGTGCTCCGCCACTGCCAAATGCCATGGTCACCATCCACTGTCACACCATCCACCATCCACCGGACTGTACCTGCTGCAGACAGGGCGCTTACCTTGCCCATCTTGAAGTAGAAGAAGGTCCCGGCGGCCACCTGGGCGACAAGGATCAGGAGGAGGAAGGCAAAGTACTGGGGACAGAGAGCAGGCAGTCAGCGGTGGGCCCCCTGGCCAGGCACCTGCCCCAGGCCCTGGGCAGTGGCTGGTAGCCAGCAGGAGGCTCTTCACTCACCAGCCCCAGCAGGCAGCGGACCTCGTTGACAGCGCCAATGCAGCCCAGGAAGCCCATGAGCATGGTGAGGCTGCCCACGGAGATGAAGAAGTAGGCCCCCACCTTGAGCGAGTCAGACGAGGTCTCTGGAGGGGAAGGGGAGAGAGGTGTCCGTTCCAGCCCACTGGCCAAGTCCCTATGGCCAGATCCCAGGGCGGTCCTCCTCAGAGATTCCCTGTCAGCCTCTGCCCTCCAACACCTGCCCCTCTGTACCAGTTAGCCGCCCCAACAAGAACATGAGCTGCACCGGGACTGGGGCCTGGTCTGTTTCTCTGGGACCAGGGGCCCCTGAACATTTGCTGGCAGTAGGAACAGCAGAGACAAGGTCCGATGTCCTCGTGTTTGGAGAAGGGAAAGGTGATGCGGAAGAATGGAAGGGTGTGAGTGAGAGAAGGCAGATGGAAGGCAGACGGCTATGCTCAGAGGCCGAGAACCAGCCTGATGGAAGGGGTGGGGGTTGGGGTGCAGGGCAGGGAGAGGCAGCAGTCCCATCAGGACACTCGACCAGCACTTTCCAAGAAGCCCAGCAGATCCTGGAGCAGGGCTGGGGCCAGCTCTGAGTCAGAGAGAGAGAGAGAAAGAAACCAACCGGTGGTGCTTTCCCACAGCTGGGCAGCAGCTGCAGACTGGCCCCCAGGGCTGTTCCCAATGCTCTGGAAGGCCGGGGAGGCTGCAGTAGCTGTCTTCACGAGGCTGCATGTCAGCCAGACAGACTCCAGGGGCCCATCACAGTCACACAGGGCCTCTCTCCCAAGGCCTAGACACTGTGCTTCAATGTCCCCCCTGAGGATGGGGGTCTGGGGGCCAGCAATTGACCTTTAGTTGGGAGACTCAGGTCTAGGTGGGCTTCACTCCCTGGAGACCTCGGAGCCTGGCTTTGGGCATCAGAATCCCAGTGCTGGGGAGGGCTGGGGAGCAGGGCCTGTGGTTTAACTCTACTTACTGAACACGGACAGAATGTTCTACGGCTCAGGGAGAGAGAGCGCTGGCTGGTCCTTCCCCATCACTGGGCCTAGGGTATGCCTCCTGGTCTGAAGCCCTGGTCTCCCCATCCCCAGGGAAAGACACTTCCCTTGCATTCTCCCAGCTCCAGGGGCTGGGTTTCCAGCAATTCCTCCCAGAAGGAGGAGCTGGCCCTGCCTGGGAGTCTGCTGGGTGCTGATTGGAGCCAGCACCCCCCCACCCACCCCCACTCAGTCCTGCAGCCTCCACAGTGGGCCTGAGGCTGCTGGTCACCTTCTGACTTGTCCATGTTGGGGGTCAGCCAGCCAACTCCACTCCTCAGAGAATTTCAGTGACACCCACCCCTGTCCTCAGCCAGGGTCTCAGCCTGTCCACAGCCAAGAAGCCTACCCAGGGGGGGTGGCCAACCCACCCTCTGTGCCCTGCAGAAAAGGGCCCCTAGCTTCTGCTGAGCCACGCAGGCCCAGGGCGGGAGGACAGACAGAGAGGGACTGGGTCCTAGAGAAGGGGGATCTACTGCTCTGGGCAAGCCCCTTCTGGGCCTCTATTTCTCTCTGTAAAGTGGGGCTGATAATTCCCACTTCTTAGCGATGTCAAAGGGTTTATATTTTATACAATTTGTTGATTTCCCTACGCACCAGGAGCTGTTTCGAACTCTTTTTAGATATCGACTCATGTAATTTCTCACAGTAATGTTTTGTTCTGACCCCAGTTTGGCCTTTCTACTCCTGTACACACTTACAGTCTCGGAAACTCCTGGCAGCGGTCTACCCTGTCCTACAGGGCCGCTACGGGAGGGCATCGGCTCGATGGCGGTGAGGTGTTTTGTTTTGTTTTACAGCTGAGGGGATGGAGGCACAGCAAGGGGAAGTAATTCGCCAAGCTCACACAGCTCGTTGGCAACAGAGCCAGCATTTGAACGCCGGCTCCAGAGTCTGTCCCCGGAGTGATGTACAGCAGAGGCCTGTGGTCCAGGTTGAATGCCCCACCGTCTAGCTCCAAGCCCCCGGACAAGTTACTTCCTCCCTCCATGCCTCCATTTCCTCCCCTGCAAAATGGGATGGCTGTGCCTCGTGGCAGGGCTCTACTGGGTGGGAAGCTGGGTCACACGGAGCCGGTTCATGGTGGTCTGGCAGCCCGGCTGCCTGCTTCAACCCTCACTTGCTGCATGACACCGAGCCCATCCTTCCTCTCCTCTGCGTGCCTCAGTTGAACCAGGAAGAGGGTAGCAAAGCTGTGCTCCTGAGCCTGAGATCCCTGGGACTGGCTGAGACCAGTGCGAAGCCCCACACCCTGAAACACTGCAGGGTCGGGGTCCTGTGGGGCGAGGTCCATGGAAGGTGTAGAGAGCACCCACTACATGCAGGGGAGGCCGGAGAAGGCCGGGGTGGGGCGCTGAGGCAGGCTGCTAGGATCGCAGATGCCGCCCAGTGGCTTGGAGCATGCTGGGTGTGAGCTGGGCCCAGAGTGAACTTCCAGGGAGGAGGGTATGGGGAGAGTGGGCGCCCAGTGGGGGCTGAACACCCACAATGGGGGTGCAGTCCCAAGTCCCTCCTCCCCTGCAGCAGGCAGCAGGACTGACAGCCCCTCGTACGGCTAGAGGGTGGACCCTCCGGGCTTTTTGCCTCCACACTCAGGCAACAAGTGTGGGGCTCCCATCACTGGGGCCCAGCCTGGTTCGTTGCATCGGATCAGGCAGTTGCCACGGCCCGAGTCCAAGCCTGCTGCTGTGGGCATCTGTGGGGAGGAGTGGCCTGAGGGAGTCCCAGAGAGGCCGGGCAGCCATGCAGGCATGCTTCCTCCCCACCAGGAAGGAAAGGGTGGCTGTCCGCACTCACACCGCCACTGCCATGTAAGGACCTAAGCTCCAGGGTTCAAATCCTACATGGAGCATTCAGGAGCAGGGAGAGCCTCAGCGGGTGCCCTACCCCTGGCTCCACACCTGCTTCTTGGGTGCCTCTCCTCACGGGGCTGCTGTGGGGCACTGTCAGGGTGCCAACTCAGGGTGACCTTGTGCCCCGCCCCATGCAACTGGCTCAGGTGTGCCAGTACCTTGCCTGTCTCGAGGAGAGCCTGAGTGGCTAGGAGCTCCCCTCGGCCCTTCCTCATCTGGCCCCTGTTCCATCCCCCTTGCAGGTGTTTTCAGCCACATCACGCACGGGTCTACCACCCCCCAAGCTACTTCCGGGAGGGACCCTCTGCAGTGGGAGGCCAGGGACGGTGCCCGCAGTTTGCAGATGGAGGGATGGAGAATGCTAGAGACTTGCTGGTCAGGGCCCGCCCCCCGCTGCCCGCCCCATGTTCCCCACACAACAGCAGCTTTGGCTGGGGAGGGAGAGAAAATTCCTTCTGGAAACCCCCCTGGAGAGGTCCCCTAGCATCATGGTCAGCAGCAGGACGCAGGGCAGCCAGAACTCAGGCAGGCCATGCTCCTTCCTTGGAGGGGTAGCAGGGTGAGGGGATGCGGGGGGTGCTTACGTAGGATAGCCATGAAGCTGCTTCGGTCGACCACGATCCACACCCCGAAGCCCAGGATCAGGGCGCCCAGGATCTGGAAGGAGAAGCGGCCTTCAGAGAAGACATCAAGAGCAAGCAGGGGACAGGCTCCCTCCCAGCTGGCCCTGAGGGCCAGGCCGGGGGGTGGGGCGAGTGGGAAGAAATTCAGGGGTGCCCCCTCATCCTTCCTCAGCCCAGGGAGCTCAGAGGACCTCAGGCCCAAACCCCAAGTTCCTGGGGAACCCAGAAAACCGGACAGCGGGGCCCCACAGCCAGTCAGTGTGAACACATGCAGCCCCTGCAGGGCCTCTCCTGGCCCCGCCTGTGCTGGGCCCCTCCCACCTGTCCATTTCCAGGGCTACCTCCTCTGAGACCCACCCTGGCCCCCGGGCAGGCTCCCTGTGGCTGTAGGCCACCAAGCCCAGTCCTGGGACCCGGTAGGCGGGAGCAGGACTGCCCGGTGGGATTCCCCAGGCTGCAGCCCAAACAGAGGAGCCCCAGCGACATGGTGGTTAAAGCGCTCTGCTGCATTTACCCCCCACCCCCCCTAACACACACACACACACACACACACACACACACACACACACACACACGGTGCTTGGAAGCCACACAGTGCTGTCAGCTTGGTGTCAACCCCTGGCGACCCCCGTCACTGTTGTCAAGTGCCCTCGAACTGGTTCTGACTCATAGTGACCTTGTAAAGACACAACGGAACACCGCTCGGTCCAGCCCCACCCTCACCTTGTTTAAAAATAAGGATGCTTATAGAGAAAGGAGTGAACTTGTCAAGGATTTCACCTTGCTGGGACCCACACTCCATGTCATGGAAGCAGCAGCCAAGAGGTCACATCACACCTGGCATTGGGTCCGTCTGCAGCGCACGACCTCTTTAGAGGTTGGAAAGGAAGGGTGACACTCTGAGGACTGAGGTGCCCTGGGCCCACGCCATGGTGTTTTCCATTGCCCCCCTACGCATGTGAAAGTGGGACACTGAGTGAGGAAGACCAAAGAAGACGATGCGTTGGCATGACGGTGCTGGAGAAGAATATTGGAAACGTCACGGACTGCCCAAAGAACAAACATCCCTCTCGGAGGAAGTTCAGCCGCATCCTCCTCAGGGGCAAGGATGGTGAGGCTTGGTCTCGTGTGCTTTGCACATGTTGTCAGCAGAGCCCGGTCCCTGGGAAAGGACAGCGTGTTTGGTAAAACAGAGAGAAAGATGGCGAAAAAGAGGAGGCTCCCTGACAAGGCGGGTTAACACAGTGGCTGCAACGATTTGCTCAGGCCCAGGAATCATTGTGAGGGATGTGCAGGGCCGGGCGGTGTTCTCTTCTGTTGTGCGTGAAGTTGCTGTGACTCACAAGCCAGCAACAACAACCACAACAACATGCAGGACAAATGGACCCATTCTCAGTGGCTACTTGGTGCTACCGGGTTGCTATGAGTCAGAACCGACGAGACTGTAAAGGGCGGGTCTTTACGGAGCTAAGCAGGAAACACGGTTCTAAAAGGTAAGTGCATGAGGGGCGGCTGGAGCAAGGCCCTGGATGCCCAGTTATCTGACACCCCCGCCCCCCAGAGTGGGGCCCAAACCCGCACTCCCAGCTCCAGGCACAGCCCTAGCCAGGATCCATTGGCTCATAATGCTGGCAGGGGGCGAGGGGGACCAAGGTCTGGGAAAAACACAGATGCCCCAAGAGGCTGGCCTCTATCAAGTCACTGAGGGCATCCCAGCCCCCGTAGGATGCCGCCACCCACCTCTACTGCCAGCCCTGTGGTCCCTGTCCTCTGTCCAAGAGGCCTTTGCTGATCTCTGGCGATGCCCTGCCTTCTCCTTACCTGTCTTCCTAGGGGTCTCAGCTCCCCTATACTTTTCCAATCACTTTGCGTGTGCCTGTGGTTAACCCCCTTCCCCACCAGACTCTAAGCCACAGAGGACAGAAACCATAGCTGGGGCTGTCGGCCCAGATCCCAGGGCAGAGTCTGAATCTCCCTAGCATGAGGTCCCTGTGTGTGGGGTCCCTGGTTGTGGGGCTTGTAGTAGTTACATCATCTGTTGTCAATTTGAGATTTAAGAGTAAAGGGGTGGAGTTTAGCCTGTCAATCAGGTCCCAGCTTGATGATCTCATTTGGAGGCACTAAGGAGATAAATAACTCGCTGGAGGCGGGACACAATACACTCCCTGTGAGACATTCCTGCCGTGAAGACATATGGAGTTATGCCAGAGCCCTGGAGCTGAAGGAGCCATGTGGAGACCCATGCCAGTGCTAAGATGCTTCCACTGCCACTGGATCCACAAGACTTTCTACCCACTGTGGTCTTCCTGCACTTGGCGTCATTGCATGGCTGCATGAATCTGAAGAAGAATTTATGGATTAGTATTGACAGGTGGGGTATTTAAGACTTATGGATGGGCTTGATCTGGACTGGGCTGGGATGTTTCCTTAATGTACAATTACTCTTTATATAAAGCTCTTTCCTATACACATGAGTGTCTCTGGATTTGTTTCTCTAGTCTACCAGAACTAACACAGTGTTAATGTGGGCTGAAGGTACAAACACCCTCAGTCTCCCCTGAACCCTTTGCCCCCTCTAGTCAAAGATATAGCTACACACACACACACACACACACACACTTCCTGAGCCAGCCTGGGCCCCAGCACACAGAGAGTTAACACTGAGTCCTGGGGTCCCCCACTGGAGCTGGCTGAGGCCCCCATACCAGCCCCCAAGTCAGCCTGACCGAAGCCTTTCCCGTCTCTGGCCCCATGCAGCTGCCTGAGAGCCCACAGGAAGGAGAGCCTGGCCAAAGTCGCCAGCCCCCTCCATCTCTTTGCATAGTCTCCACCCCACTCCCTATGAGGGGAGGAAAGATCCAGGCCGTAGACCTTGAGCCCCCCGGACCCCCAGCCCAGCCTTCTTTCTAATCTGTAACCTCCTGGGGGGAGCCACGGGGCCCCACCTTGCACCCTGGTTGCTGGCCCTTTAAGGCGGGCCTTGTCCCAGGAGCTGAGGGTCTGCCAGGGACCTCTTGGCTCTGGCTTCCGGGCAGCTGCTTCCCAGAGGCTGGGCCATCTCAAAGGAGGTCTGAATGCCAAGCCAGGGAAGCCCTGGTGCCCAGGCCTTGTCCCAGTGAGGCCCAGGCCTGGCTGTAAACTGTAGCAGGCCAGTCCCAAGACAGCCTTAGTGCAGCCCAGGGGCACGCTGGGTGCTGAGTCCAAATCTGCGGTGGGAGAGGGTGCGAGGACCAGCCATCTCGTTCTCTAAGCCCCTGTCACCGACATGAGAAAACTGTGACTCTATTCCACCAGGAATTCACATCTCTTGGAGAACATTGGGAACTTCCAGAGAAATAGGGAAAATAAACATAAATAAATAAATAAGAGAGAAAGCAGTCTGAATCTCAACATGAATGTCCTGGAAGATTTCCTGCTCCGCTCAGAAAACAGGATGACCATGTACCATCTGTAAGAGTGGAATGGGGTCCTGAGAGCTATCCTGTTGGACAACCGGGGTTGTTTTTTAACAGCATAGTCCTGCAAATGCTACAGCAGGGACGTAATGAGCAGCCACTCGCTGCTCCAACACCAAGCTAAGGAGGCCTCCCCAGACCACCCCACTACACACACACACACACACACACACACACACACACACACACACACACACACACAC